CCCCCACAAAGCTATAAACTGGAGGTTCCCTCTCAGCCACTCTATTTGCTACTGATTCCCAAGGATAAAATCATGCCTCCTAGATCTCTTACCTCACCAGCAGACACACTCCATCATGGTGAGTCTTGGGGTTTTCAAGCAGACTCTGTGTTCTCTGCTCCCTGAGCGCTCTCACCAGTCTCTCATTCCCAGCTTTGAAAAGCACAGCCTCTAATGCTTGGATAGAAAGCCTGGGGAAAGAGAGGCACAGAACTGCAGCAATCAGTAGGAAGGTGCAGCCTGAACAGAGCGAGGAAGCCCCGGTTACTTGTCAGGTCTGCTGTTCATTGACAGTTCATCCATTGGCAATATCCTGGACACCAGTGTCCCTGGAAGGACTTGATGCCGGGAGGTAAGTTTCAGTCTCATACATCTCATATGACTAGTTTTGCTAGGGACAAAATTTTGCAGTCATTTTTCCCTTTCTGCAAGGAGTATGGGCACTAGCAGAGTACAATGATATGGAAAAGATACATGATCAGGACCCAAACACTAGGGGCATAGAGTGTGGTGATCACTAATGGACATTTATGATGTGACAGAGAGCTGAGGGTTTGCACTTGAATCAGCACTCTGGTCACTATTAGTACTAATTTGGTTCCTCACAGAAGGCCTAATTGGACAGAGGTGTACCTGATTACGAGGTCAGATTGGGGCTAGTGAGTCAAGGAACCAATCATTCCATTAACAGGGAAACTGTACAAAAGGACATGGGCAGGAGCTCTTTGAGGGGAACAGACAGAGAAAGAAACTTGGGTGACCAGATGTCCCGATATTTGGGGCTTTATCTTATACGGGTACCTGTTACCCCCCACCCCCTGTCCTGATTTTTCACACTTGCTGTCTGGTCACGCTAGGAGAAACAGAAAGACAAAAAGCTAGGAGAGCCTGACAAAGTGAGGTCTCTGAGTGGAAACACCTTAGCCCCCACTTTTGGAGAAGAGTTTAGAAAGTTGAGATACAATATAAAGGTGCTATGTATTGGTAGGGGGATTAAATAGACTATATGTTGGTGCTTACAAGCAAGAAAGTCTCAACGCGGTCTGTGTTTGTGGAAGATGTGGGGGTGCAACACCCCTCTCTGTCACAGCTGGGGGCTCATCAGGGATTTCCCTGTTATCTATGCAAATGGAGAGCCTGTTGGAGAAGCCGGTGTAGAGGTTTTGGCAGTCCGGGTGATGGAGGGAACACTGAAATGGATGGTGAAGCAGCAAAGAGAAGTGTAGAACAGGGGTTCTCAACTTTTCTGTTTCTGAGCCTCCCCCCACCCTCAACATGCTACAAATACTCCATGGCCCAGTTCCAGGCCTCTGCCCTGCCAGGCATCAGAGTTTGGGGCTCCTGGCTCTGGTTTTTAACCTCATGGGGTGCAGAGGCTCGGGGCTTTAGTGCAGGTGCTGGGCCTCAGGGCTCCAGCGTGGCTGGGCTCAGAGCTTCAGCTTTCTGCCCTAAGCCCCAGCTAGTCTAATGCCAGCCCAGCTTAGCGGACTCCCTAAAACCGGCCTGGTTGAGAACTGCTGGTGTAGAAGACCCTACAGACCTTCCAACAATCCCACCATGCAGAAAAACAGCCTTTGCTTGCCTGGTAGGTTTAACAGCAAAAGAGCCTTCAGGAATGTATACAGGAGCAAGCCCAGGTCTGGCAACAACTCCTCCAAAGTTTGGCCAGTCCTGTGACAGGAAATGGAAACCAGGCACAGGAGATCAGACTCTGTAAAATGGGACCTGCGAACAACCCTGATGTGTTTTTGGTTACTCTTAAAGGAGCAGCAGTGAGACCTCATAGGGACAGAACAATGTGGGGCCTTCAACTGACACCCTATTTAACCGGGGAAGCACATATATGGGTCTTAGTGAGTAGCAGGCAAGAGATTATGACATGATTAAGGCAGCCATGCTGGACTAGGTGGGGCCTGTTCACAGAAAAGTACTGCCAGAAATGGAGAGTTGAAAGATGGATTGAGGGATTATGCCTCTGTGCATTTGGACAGAAATTAAAAGATTGGGCCACTCATTGGTAAGGCCAGATACTCAAACTGTGGGGGAGGTCATGGACTGCATGATTCTGGAAGTTTCTTCAGAGTCTCCCTGAGCATACCCGAGCATGGGTTACGTGGCGCCAGCCAGTTAATCTGGACCCCACAGTTAAAGTTACAGAGGAATTTGCAGAGGCGGACATTCCCAGAGTGAGTCAGTGGTTTAAGGGACTAGATTTGAGAAGGACCAGAGTGCCTCCAGCTGGGAAGGGCAGCAAGAAGAAGAGGGAGGCGCCTCAAGGAACTGTAGAGGGAGCTTATCCTACAGTGTGCTACCGACATAGACGTGAAGGACATCTAAAAAGAGACTGTCCTAAAATGGACTGTGGGTTTGCACAGTTTTGTGGCTGGGATAAGACTCCCAGGCAGGGAAGAAAAAAGAAAGTACCTACCATATCGGTATGGGTAGGGAGGAGCCACCAAAGGGACTAATGGACACAGCTTCATCCTGTTTGTTAATCGGGCAGGAGTTAGTGAAACCCCACTGGATACTTCCCAGAGGTAGGATCAAAACTGAATATGTACATGGGGACAATAAATTCTGCCCAATGGCAGAGGTGACTCTGGAAATCAAGGGGAAGTTTAGGCAGAAACATGTAGGGGTAGTGGATGGATTGCCCCACTGCCTTCTACTGGGCATGGACTGGCATCCCTTTCTAACAGGGACACCAAGGCATGTATGGAGGCTCAGGAGGGTGGAAACAAAACCTGAAGGGCCAGGTAAAGAGGAAATATATGTAAAGGGGCTGGAGGAACCTAGACACGAAAGTACAAGCCACAGAGAAGGTGAGGATGCAGAAGTCCCCTGAGAGACAAGAGGGAGGAGAAAGAAAACAAAGGTCAAGAGTAAAGGTGACTTAAGATCATCCATTGGGGTCAAACAGTCATCAGAGCCCTTACCACCAGGATCTCAGGAGCGGGCATCCCGAGAACACTTGGGAGGGACTCAGCGCAGTCTGTGTTCATGGAAGAGGCCGGGGCACAGCATACCACCCCTCACATACAGGTACCTAAAATAGGCCTGCACATGGGCCAACGGCAGGCGCAGAACACTTGTGTCTGCAGCGCCAGCAATCACCTAGCTAGGTACCCATCCATGTGAACAAATTCAAGTTTTGTGGACAAAGCTTAGGCACCCATGTTTGAAAACCTGACTCACTGTGGCCACTACATAAGACCAGCCTTACTGGGTCAGTCCAATGGTCCATCTAGTCCAGTATACTGTCTTCCAACAGTGGTCAATGCCAGCTTCTTCAGAAGGAATGAACAGAACAGGGCAATCATGAAGTGATCCAATCCCTGTTGTCCAGTCTCAGTTTCTGGCGGTCAGGCCTAGGGACACCCAGAGCTTGGGGTTGTATCCCTGACCATCTTGCCTAATAGCCATTGATGGACCTGTCCTCCATGAACTTATCTAATTCTTTTTTAACCCAGTTATACTTTTGGCCTTCACAACATCCCTTGGCAATGAGTTCCACAGGTTGACCGTGTGTTGTGTGAAGTAGTACTTATGTTTATTTTATAGCCACTGCCCATCCGTGAACAGAGTTTAGATCCTGGTTTCCTAGGAAAATTCAGAGACATTATAAAACCCTGAAGTCTGTAATTTGAGCACCTTGTTGGCACAGAATAAAGAAACACAACAATAATAGAAACTAATAATGTTGTGAGATTGGTGGGAAATGTACATTAATGGGCTATCAGAGCTGAAGTCAACTGATGACTCAGGGATCTCTTAGTGTTAACTGGCGAGGGGCACAGAGTGGGTGCCGAGTGGTCTGGTATGTACATTCTAGTTCACTAAAAGATTGCCATATGAGTCTCAAATAAAAGCCCATGTCACCAATATCATTGTGAAACACATGTACAGATGCGGTGTAAAGAGTCATGTATATGCATTGAAAATTACATTCTTATGATCTGTGTCTAGGGACTAGTCACCAGGAAAGGTGGAAAAATGGTTTTCTTTCAGGGAAGAAATGTTTATCCATCTGTTTCTTTATCTGTAAATTAAGCATGTAGGGTTCACATTCAGTTCAGAAGGACTGTGAGAACTTCAAAGAAAGAAAAGTAACAGGAAGTAGACAGGGGGTGGGGACCCAATTTTGGGGTACACATCAAAGGTGTGCTCTAGTATATTTGGGGGACAAAGAAGACACCCTGGCATCTTTCACTTAGGAAGTAGATGGACAGTGATATGGACAGCGGGGTTGCTATCAGGCGTGGTTGAGAACTTTGGGTGAGAAACATCTTTAGACAGGAGGTTAAGCTGTTGGTTAAGTTTAGTCTCTAAGAGCATGTTACGATTTCATTTTACATGTAACCATTTTTTGCTCGCATTCTTACTCACTATCACTGGAATTTCTGTTCTTTGATCATCTCTGTTCTTAAATATATCTTCAAATATATCTAAGTGCTGTGTGTTTTGCCGTATAGTATAAGTAATAAAGTATAGAGTCTAAAGTATAAGTAATAAACTGGTGTGTACTGTTCCATTGGGAACAGCAGGCCTGGTAATTCTGTGGGTGTTCAGTGGATAAAGGTCTGGACACTATATGGAACGGTCAGAAGACTCGGGGGTTGGTGTGTGCCTATCACTAACTTGTACAAAGAGTCTGAGGAGGCCTGGATGGCAGTGTTTGTTTTGCCAGAGCCTGGTCATTTCAGGGAACTGACCCACATCAGGCACAGACAAGACTTCCTCACTCTAAGGGCAGGCAATGGTAAGGTGCCTCGTAACCCTGGGAACTCCTGGGGAGGGTCACACAACTCTATTGGAATTCTCTTTGTTTCTCTCCCTTCCTTCTAATTACCGGCAAGGGTCGCCCTCAGTATGTTGTAGGTCTTCTTGGAATAGCATCCCGCTGCTTATCCTGGGCAAAGGCATCTCTTGTCCTAGGGTTCGGCTGACCTGCTGCAGGAGAACAGGAAACAACTCTGGGAGCAGCTCCTGCACAGCTTTGCTTGACTGCAGTGCTGACACCACCTCAGAGATGGCACATGTTGCCTGAAAGGAGAGAATGGTAAAAACTGAGAGCTCTTCCCAACACCATCACAGCCTCTCTCCCCTTCTGAGATCTGCTGTACGAAATTCTCACTTTTGCCAGTAACTTGAATGACTGCGAGCAACTCGCTTAACTCGTGGCTCAGTTTCCCACATCTGTACAAATGTGGATGACCTACCAAGGCATGTTGTGAGTCCTAAGGAATATTTGCAAAGCACTGTGAGAAACCTGGTTCAAAGACTTGCTAATTGCCAGATGTTATTAAGTAAATCAGCCACGTACTCTAAAACTGCCGTATTTGTTCCACAGACAGCACAGCTGGACTGAGGGAAACAGTACATCAGAGGAGAAGTGCCCACACAGCAATATTATACCACACTTCTAGCTTTGCATCAGCAGGATTGTCACAGGGCAGAGGAAAGCCCGAAAGACATGTCTGTCTTTACTTACTAAGAGAGGTTCAGCAGCTGCCAAATCCCTGTCGATTTCAGTCTCTGAGGTGATGCGGCCTTCTTGTCTTGTTGGAGTCTTTATCTTGTCTATAAGGATCTTTAGCACTTGAGTGGCAAGCAAGGGGTCTCCCCCCAGAGATCTCCACAGCTCAGCGATGTCACTGCAATTTAACAGAAGTTACATGTGACCCCTGGACACTTTTGTGGCTCAGACTGAATACGTCATATTTAAGTAAAGACCAAATTTTCTCCTTGCCAATGATGAGAAAGTTAGGAGTACTGTTCTCCTTTAACGCCCCTCATGTTTAAATATTGAGTTTCCAGTTACAGAACTAGGTTAAGTGACCTAGTCTTACTGCAGCCTCACCATTAATACTAGACTTCAGAAGGACAGGACACAGAGCGCCAACCTCAGTTCCTGCTTTCCCATTTTCCAGTAAATATGGAATCATGAACATGTGGCTCCAAAGATCTAGGGATTGGAAGGCAAGTTGATGAAGGAAAAGCCATATTCCTACTAACTGGTGTGATATAGCACGGCCAGAGGACAGCAGGAGAGTGATAGATGGGAGATATGTAAGCCCCAGGATGATGAGAGCCTTAGTCCCTGTAGAGGGAAGAGAGGCTGCTACAGATTAATTAGAGCACCTGAAACCAATTAAGCCAATTAGAGCACCTAAAGCCAGTCACCTGATAAACCCCCCCTGCTTCAATCAGACAGTTGGAGGAGTTGAAGCAGAGTGGTTTGGTGTTGGAGCACAGAGCAGTTTGGAGGAGTTGAAGCAGAGTGGTTTGGTGTTGGAGCAGAGAGCAGTTTGGAGAAGTGCTGTAGTGGGCCAGAAGACCAAGACCCTAGGTAAAGGGAAACCCGGCTTGTGCAGAGCAGAGGGACTCTACAGACACAAGGGGTTGGGAGAAACTTGGCCCAAGCGGAGAGAGGGCAGGAAGCCCCACAAGCTGAAGGGCCGGAGAGGGAAGTAGCCCAGGGGAAGGAATCGCTAGTTCAAGTGGTTCACTGCTATCCCTTGGGTCCCTGGGCTGGGACCTGGAGTAGAGGGTGGGCCCAGGTCCCTCCCTCTCCACTCCCCTTTTCTGGGACACTAATGGGACAGTTGATACCCCAGTTCAGGGGTGAGAAACGGTGCCCTGCACCCCCACAAGAGGAGAAAGTGCGGGACGCAACATAATAGTGCCGGCAATTTGCCACACTGGACATACAACTATGAGACCAAATATTCGTGGCCATCCTATGTCCCCTTCACAAAGAGTGTCCCTATCCTCTGTTTGCCAGAAGCTGGGACTGGGCAACAGGGGACAGATCACTTGACAATTACCTGTTCTGTTCATTCCCTCTGGAGCATGTGGCACTGGCCACTGTCGGAAGACAGAATACTGGGCTAGATGGACCTTTGGTCTGATCCAGTATGGCCGTTCTTATGGTCTTAGATTCCAGCACTGATAACTGATAACTCAGTTAGGGATCTTTAAAGGAAATGATGGATCTGCTTCCAGTCCAGTTTTAAGTACCCAGGACAGCAACTCTATTCTAGCAGCCACACCCTGACTGATACCAAGCAGAGGTCTGATGATAATATTGGCTCTATTCTTTGTAATCAGCCAGGGATTTGGACTTGAAGCTGTCATGCTACCAGGAAACCAACAGCCACTGCTCATTTCCAGAGTGAGGTAAATTCAGGTGTCTAGAGAGGTAGATGTTTCCAACAATACACTCCAGTTATACCAGTAAAGATAGGTCTTTAGGATATCAAAGCAGCTATTAATTAATGGAAACAGAATGACACTTAATTTCTCTCCGCACCCCACCTTAACATGCTCTTGGACCTTCCTGCAGAAAGACCCAGGCTATTAACCTTTAGGAATTATCCCAAACTGTCTGCTGCTTAAATAAAGCCCTACATCTCCCAGTAAAGCTGTGGGATCCATGTTTCACCAAGATGAACGCAATAGGTAGCGGTATATACCTGTTCATCGGCAGAGGTTCGCCGAGGAGGCTGGAGATCACTGTCTCTAGGTCACGGTGAGCTAAAATGGACACCGCCTCCACCAGGAACTGCCTCAAGCTGCCCTCCTGGATAGAGGGCATGTGGCTATATATTATAACCAGGATATCTGGCACCTGGAAGGAACAAAACCAGAAAGAAATGTCCCTTTTTCTTTCTCTCCATTCATTCTGCAGAATCAAAACCTTTATTTAGCCATTTAGCCAGTTGCTGCTTTTTTAGAAATTCTTCACTTCAAGAAACAAATGTTCAAATATGTCTGCATAAATTTAACCCACAAAAATTGCCCACACTTGGCTGTAAAAACTAACACTGACACACACATATACATACCAGGTAATTTAATGTGGTGGTGCCCAGCTATGCATTAAATAAACCCGTTCGCATGCACAAAAGAAGGCTTTCCTTGCCCACATTTTGCAGGTGTGATTTAAGCAGCCAAATCTGACCATTTGCCTCGAAGAATGCGGAGTTCATAAACAACCACAAGCACAAAATATGCAAGTGCTTTAAACACAGTGTGCAGATACCTGGGACTATGAACAGGTGACGACCTCTCATATTCACTCCTAACCCTTCACATCTTCAAAACACTGTGCAAACATGGCAGTTCTGCTGCGAGGGTTCCCTGTCCTGAGACCTTTCACCAGCCTTGTTAGAAGATTTGTGGAGTGCTCCTTTCATCTAGCCCTAACGCACTGGGCTCCAGAATAAGGCATATAAATAGTGGATCCCAAAGACACTATAGTTTTCTCCCTCCCTCCCCCCTTCTATTCTTAAAGGGTATGTCTACACAGCAAAAAAAAACCCCACAGCAGTGTAAAAGTGTAGCTGTTCCTGGTTGGGCTGGAGCCCAGACTCTGAAACCTGGCAAGAGGGTGGGTCTCAGAGCCCAGGCTCCAGACTGACTGGGAATGACTACAGTGCTATTTTTATCCAGGTAGCCCTTAGCCATAGGCCTCCTAAGAAAAGACGGTTACTCACCGTTGTAACTGTTGTTCTTCGAGATGTGTTGCTCATATCCATTCCAGTTAGGTGTGCGCGCGCCGCGTGCACGATCGTCGGAAGATTTTTACCCTAGCAACACCCGGTGGGTCGGCTGTGGAGCCCCCTAGAGTGGCGCCGTTATGGCGCTGGATATATACCCCAGCCGACCCAGCGCCCCCTCAGTTCCTTCTTGCCGGCTACTCCGACAGTGGGGAAGGGGGGCGGGTTTGGAATGGATATGAGCAACACATCTCGAAGAACAACAGTTACAACGGTGAGTAACCGTCTTTTCTTCTTCGAGTGCTTGCTCATATCCATTCCAGTTAGGTGACTCCCAAGCCCCACCTAGGTGGCGGGGTCGGAGTGAGACATTGCTGTGTGCAGAACCGCTGACCCGAAAGCAGCATCGTCTCTGGACTGTTGCACCAGCGCATAGTGAGTAGCAAATGTGTGGACCGATGACCACACTGCAGCTTTACAAATGTCCTGGATTGGTACTTGAGCCAGAAAGGCAGTCGAGGAGGCCTGGGCCCTCGTGGAATGAGCAGTGAGGCGTGGCGCCGGTACACCGGCCAGGTCATAGCAAGCACGAATGCAGGACGTAATCCAAGAGGACAGGCACTGTGAAGAGACCGGTGAGCCTTTCATCCGGTCGGCCACCGCAACGAAGAGTTGCGTCGTTTTCCTAAATGGCTTTGTACGGTCAATGTAGAAAGCCAGGGCCCTGCGAACGTCCAAAGAATGTAAACGCTGGTCTTGACGAGTAGCGTGCGGTTTCGGATGGAAGACCGGAAGAAATATATCTTGGTTTACGTGGAAAGGTGACACCACCTTTGGAAGAAAGGCAGGGTGGGGGCAAAGCTGCACCTTGTCCTTGTGGAACACCGTATAAGGGGGCTCGGATGTCAGCGCCCTGAGTTCCGAGACGCGTCGTGCTGAGGTGATGGCTACGAGGAAGGCTGTCTTCCAGGATAAGTAGAGGAGTGAGCAGGTCGCCAATGGTTCAAACGGAGGCCCTGTGAGCCTGGAGAGGACGAGGTTGAGGTTCCACGTCGGAACCGGCTGTCGTTGCTGTGGGTACAGCCGGTCTAGGCCCTTGAGGAATCTAACGACCATCGGGTTAGAGAAGACCGAGGACGTGAGTTCTCCTGGGTGGAAAGCGGAAATGGCGGCGAGGTGAACCCTAATTGAGGATGTCGCCAAGCCTTGGTGTCTTAGGGACAGAAGGTACTCCAGTATCAAGGGGATAGGAGCCTGCGCGGGAGACGTAGCTCGTTGCTCACACCAACAGGAGAACCTCTTCCACTTGGCTAAATAAGTGGACCGCGTAGAGGGCTTTCTACTTCCCAGCAGGACCTGTTGGACGGCCTGGGAGCATTGCCGCTCTGACCGACTCAACCATGAAGCATCCACGCCGTGAGGTGGAGTGACTGCAGGTCGGGGTGACACAGCCGGCCGTGGTCCTGAGAGATGAGATTCGGAGTCAAGGGGAGCGTGATGGGCCTCTGTACTGACAGCTCCAGCAGTGTGGTGTACCAGTGCTGTCTCGGCCAAGCGGGAGCGACTAGAATTACCCGTGCATGGTCCCTGCGGATCTTGAGCAGCACCCTGTGGACCAGCGGGAATGGAGGAAAGGCGTAGAACAGATGGTCTTCCCATGCCATGAGGAAGGCGTCCGACCGAGAGCCCGGGGCTCGCCCGTGTAGGGAGCAGAATGCCTGGCACTTCCTGTTGGCCCGAGACGCGAATAGGTCGATCTGGGGAAACCCCCACCTTTGGAAGACGGAATAAATGATGTCCGGGCGAATCGACCACTCGTGCGTCTGGAAGGACCTGCTGAGACGGTCCGCCAGCGTATTCTGGACTCCAGGGAGGAATGACGCCGTGAGATGAATCGAGTGGGCGATGCAGAATTCCCACAGGCGAATGGCCTCTTGGCATAGGGGAGATGAGCGAGCTCCGCCTTGCTTGTTGATGTAAAACATGGCCGTGGTGTTGTCGGTGAGAATCAGCACGCAACGGCCTTGTAGGAAGTTGAGGAAAGCCTGGCAAGCCAGGCGCACCGCCATCAGCTCTCGGACGTTGATGTGCAGGGCTAGTTGGGACGCGGACCACAGGCCTTGGGTATGGTGCTCCCCCAGGTGAGCGCCCCAGCCTAGAGATGAGGCGTCCGTAACTAGGTGGAGGGAGGGCTGCGGGGCGTGAAAGGGTACTCCTGCACAGACCGCTGTGCGATCCGTCCACCAGGCGAGAGAGGCCAAGACCGAGGCCGGAACCGTGACCACCATGTTCAGGTTGTCTCGATGAGGACGGTAGACCGATGACACCCAAGCCTGCAGTGGGCGAAGTCGCAGTCTGGCGTGCCTGGTTACGTATGTACACGAGGCCATGTGGCCCAGAAGGACAAGGCATGTTCTTATGGTGGTAATTGGAAAGGCCCTGAGACCTTGAATGACGCCTGAGATGGTATGGAATCAGCTGTCTGGCAGTATGGCTCGGGCACGTCTGGAGTCCAGGATTGCTTCAATGAACTCTATCCTCTGAGTTGGTACTAGAGTGGACTTCTCTCTGTTGAGTAGAATGCCCAGCTCGTGGAAAGTGTCTGTCACTATGCGGACATGAGCCTGCACTTGGTCTCTGGTGCGGCCGCGTACCAGCCAGTCGTCCAAGTACGGGAACAGCTGTATCCCTTGTCGACGAAGGAAGGCCGCGACGACTGCCAGGCACTTTGTGAACACCCTGGGAGCCGAGGACAAGCCGAAGGGAAGGACTGCGAATTGGTAGTGTACCCTGTTTACCACGAATCGCAGGAAACGTCTGTGGGGCGGATAAATTGCTATGTGAAAGTAAGCGTCCTTCATGTCGAGGGCGGCGAACCAGTCTCCAGGATCCAGTGAAGGGATAATGGTCCCCAATGACACCATGCGGAACTTCAACTTTACTATGAATTTGTTGAGTCCGCGTAAGTCTAAGATGGGCCGTAGACCCCCTTTTGACTTGGGTATCAGGAAGTAGCGGGAGTAAAACCCCCTGCCCCTTAGCTCCGAAGGAACCTCCTCTATGGCCCCCATAGCGAGGAGCCCAAGAACCTCCTGTGTAAGGAGTTGCTCGCGAGAAGGGTCCCTGAAGAGGGACGGGGAGGGGGAGGGGGGGGGCGAGGAAAACTGGAGGGCGTATCCCCCTTTCACCGTGCGAAGGACCCAACGGTCCGAGGTTATACGGGACCAAGCACGGTGGAAACGGGAGAGGCGATCCCGGAAGGGGGGAACCGGATCCTGGAAAGTGGCTAAGGTGCCGTCCTCAACCGCACCTTCAAAAGGCTTGCCTAGGCCCAGAAGGTGGCCTAGGTTGGCCCTGGTTTTGACCGGGTTGAGGGCCGGTCGACCTTCGCCTACCACCTCGACCCCGCCTCCTAGCAAAGTCCTGTCTTGGACGAGGCGGGGGAGGGTAGAACCGCTGAGGCTGGGGCCTGAAGGGTCTGCGCTGAGGCCCTGGGACATGCATCCCCAGGGAGCGCATCATCGTCCAGGAGTCTTTTAGGTTTTGGAGCCTCGAGTCCGTTTTCTCTGAAAAGAGGCCCTGGCCCTCGAACGGTAGGTCCTGCAGGGTCTGCTGCAGTTCAGGTGGCAAGCCTGACACCTGGAGCCAGGAGATTCGGCGCATTGCTATCCCCGACGCCAGGGTCCTAGCGGCCGAGTCCGCTATATCAAGGGACGCCTGTAGGGAGGTGCATGCCACCCGCTTGCCCTCCTCTACCAAGGCCCCGAACTCTTCCCTCGAGTCCTGGGGAACCAGCTCTCTAAATTTCCCCATCGAGGACCACATATTGAAGCCATAGCGGCTCAGGAGCGCCTGTTGGTTCGCTGCCCGCAGTTGCAGTCCGCCAGCCGAATAGACCTTGCATCCGAACAAATCGAAGCGCTTAGCGTCCTTCGATTTGGGCGCAGCAGCCTGCTGGCCATGTCGCTCCCGTGCATTGACTGATGACACCACCAGTGAGCACGGTTGGGGGTGAGTGTACAAATACTCATGTTCCCTGGAAGGCACGAAGTACTTTCTCTCAACCCCTCTGGCCGTGGGCGGAATAGAGGCCGGGGTCTGCTAGATAGTGGTGGCGTTGGCCTGGATGGTGCGGATCAGCGGTAATGCCACCCTGGATGGAGCATCCGCTGAAATGATCTGCACGATTGGGTCATGGACCTCCGCAATCTCCTCCACCTGGAGGTCCATATTGCGAGCCATGCGGCGCAGCAGGTCCTGATGGGCCCGAAGGTCTATGGGAGGCGGCCCAATGGCGGATGTGCCCGCTACGGCCTCATCAGGTGAGGACGAGGAGGATGCCCCCGGTGGCAAGGGGTCCAATGGTTGGTCCTGCTCCAGGTGTTCCTGGAGTTGGGCATCGCCTGCCCCCTGGTCCAGGGCCTCTGCAGGTGCGGGCACTGGAGCCTCCACGTCCCTTGGGGGAGGGCGGGAGATGGTGGACTCTGGGGCCCTAGGCTCCGAACGGCCAGAGCGGGAGGCCGATAGGGGAGCTCCTTGTGCCTGGTGGTAGGCCCAAGGAGTCCAGAAGGACCAATGCGCAGGTCCTTGCATAGGGTCGTCGGTCTCCTGCAGGTGGCCGGCCTCCACTGCCTCAGATGACCGCGACGCCGATCTCGACGGCCACGGCGGTGCCGAACCCGATGCCGTCGGTACCGGATGGTACGGTGCCGATCGGTGCCGACCGTAAGGCGATCTGTCCCTGTGCGGTTCCGGCGAGCGGTGCCGGGACCTGGACCGGTGCCGATAGTCCCTCCGGTGCCGGGATCCCGATCTGGAGGAGGCGTGGTACCGGGAGCGGCCTCTCGAGCCCGAGTGGCGCTCATACCGGTGCCGGGAGCTGCGCCTCGACCCCGATCGGTGCCGGTCGTCGCGACGGTGCCGGGATGTTGAACGGCGCCGCGAGGAAGATCTGGGCCGCGAGTACGACCGGTGCCGAGGTGACAGTCGGCGCCGGGACTCAGAGCGGCGTCGGGACCTGCTTCGGGATCTGGAGCGGTGCCGAGAGACTTGTGCTGGCGACGGTGGGCGCACCAGAGCAGGTTTCCCTCTGGACTGCAGCACACGTGGAGCCACCGGTGCCGGGAGTTGCGACGGCGCCGGCTCAGTGAGGGCGATCAGGTCTCTCGCGGTAGCGAAAGTCTCCGGGGTGGAAGGGAGACAAGGTTCCACCACCAGCCTTGGTGGTGAAACAGTCCGCACCGGACTCAACGGCCTCGGTGCCGGAGTCGACGGTGTGGCCGCCTGTCTTTGGCGGTCCAGCTGCGGACGCGGCTCTACCCCCGGCACCGGGGGAGCCGGTATCTTCGCGGCAGCAACGTCGCGCGCCTTGCCGGCCTTCTTATGGCCCGGAGAGACGGATCGGTGCCGAGGTTCTTTAGGCGGGCGCGGTGCCGACGTCGGTCAGTGCCGAACAGTCTTTTCTGCCGCACCAGTCGGGCCCGCCGGGGCGCTGCGCACCGAAGCGCTCGGTGCCGGGACAGGGCGCGCCGAGGGAGGGTCCGGACTCAGAGCCGCCTCCATCAGGAGCTGACGGAGTCTAAAGTCCCGCTCCTTTCTTGTCCTCGGCTTGAAGGCCTTGCAGATAGGGCACTTATCTGCTGGATGAGTCTCTCCAAGGCACTTCAAGCAGGAACTATGCGGGTCGCTGGTTGGCATATGCTTCCCGCAGGACGCGCACGGCTTAAAGCCAGGAGCCTTGGGCATGGGCCCGGCTGTGCGCCGGGGGGAAAAAGGGGAAAAACACCCCCTAAACCCCCGATAACAATATACAACTATATATATACACAATACACTAACTAACTAACTTGAAAACTATCTATATAACTAACTATAACAAGAACAATGAGAAGCTAGGGAGTGTGGAGATCAGCTAAGCCGCGCTCCACAGTTCCAACGACCGTCAGGGGCGGTAAGAAGGAACTGAGGGGGCGCTGGGTCGGCTGGGGTATATATCCAGCGCCATAACGGCGCCACTCCAGGGGGCTCCACAGCCGACCCACCGGGTGTTGCTAGGGTAAAAATCTTCCGACGATCGTGCACGCGGCGCGCACACACCTAACTGGAATGGATATGAGCAAGCACTCGAAGAAGAATAGTCCCTTCTGGTCTTAATAATCGGAGTCAAAAGTGTGGATGCGATTTGGATCTGGTGCTGGGAATATGAATTCCCCTCCCCCTCCCAAAAGGGTTTGGTTAGGAGGTTCTAGTCAAAGCTCCTTTTTCTATGAGTGGTCTCTACTAATCACACAGAGAAGCACGATACCTCTGCTGTTCTGGCCACTAGAGCATTCTGATTTGAGATTCTGTACTTTCTCAGACTAGCATGGTGTGACAGGAAAATAGAAACGTCCAAATTCAGGTCTTTGTGTTGCGGAATGTCCAGCTGGTACTGCGCAAGAGCCTGGAACACCATGATGGTCGCCTAGAACACCAGGAGGAAGACAAGAGAGTTACGCCATATTGTCCTATTGCACTGAATATCTGACAGCTTTTAAATAGACTCTTTAATGAAGAGGAACCAAAAATACAATTAAAAGAAAACACCAGGGTTCCACTGGGTGTCACGCAGGCAAAGGGTTATATAATAATATTACCTGGCTCCTCTGTAGTGTGTTTCATCAGTAGATCTCCAAGCACTTTACAAAGCAGTACAATATCTTTATCCCCATGTTGCAAATGGGGAAACGGAGGCACAGGGCAGGGAAGTAACTTTCCCAGGGTCACTCAGGAAGCCGGTGGCCAAACCACGAATAGAACCCATGGTCAATAAATATATTGTGCATGATTAATTAGCTTCCTATCACCCCTATCTATTAACAGGGGCCCATTGTCAGCTGGACAGAGCACAGCAAGATAGTGGCTCCTATGTATCTGTAACCCACACACCTCCACTGGGTGTGGTGCTCTGTCCCCTCTAGTGGCACCGAGACCACTTAGAGAGAGAGATTAATGAGTGTGCTACAGCCTTAGCTAAGGGTCATCTGGCTTTTAGCTCATGCAGGAGAGGCTCATGCATTTAGCTCCAGAGGTCCCATGTTCGATCCCGCCTACCAACGACCGGGGTCTATCGGTATTACAAGTGGGGGCTTGTCCGGGACTCGAACGCAGGACCTCTTCCTAAATGCATGAGCTTCTATTGCCTGAGCTAAAAGCCATGTGGCCCTTAGAGAGAGAGATTATTGCGTCTGCTACAGCCTTAGCTAAGTGGTCTCAGTGCCACTAGAGGGAACAGAGCACCATACCCAGGAGGCGTGTAGGTTACATATATAGAGACATCTATGCCACACAAAGCAGTGTTAGGGATAGAACACATGGCCTGTGACTCAAAAATACAGACCGCTCCCAACCGAGCTTGTAATCTCCGTTTAGGTAGAGAAAAGACAAGCCTCAGTAGCAAGGAATGTAAAGGGATTTCTCTACTGAGGCTGCTGGACACAGACCGACCCTATAGTTCCTAGTGGCCCCCGTACTCCAGGGAAGGGAGGGATATCTGAGGACACTCCATCTTTATTTAGCTGTCACTAGTAGTAGGGCTTTTATCCTCGCCCGTAGGTTGTGTAAGCACAGTTTAATAAAAAATCCAAATAACATAACCGTACAGTTGTAGTTAGAGGTGGCTAAAACCCAAATTGATTCAGATTAGTCATGATTCACCATGGCTTTGTCCTTTGGACTCGGACCGTTGGTCCTGCACACCCGGTACTGTCTCTCCAGACCAATGGCCAAAAACCAAACAAATGCCAGAATGAGTCCAGATGCTCATGTGTTTCTGCCCATGGGAAGAGAAGGCCCATTGACTCCCCGGGACAACTCACTGTCTTAAAGAGAAGCATGTGCTCACACCCATCACCTTGGCAGGATGGAGCCTTTAGTGAGAAGATTCAGTCATGCTCCTGTGCTGGTCTCTGCCTTAGATTAACAATGGCAAAGACCTGATAGGTCATGTTGCCCATCTCCCAGGCAATGCAGGATTGTTCTCTACTGGGCATTCTCCAGGCCTTTCTACAATAACTCAAGTGATCGGAATCCCATCCCTTCTGATGGGAGACCTGCCCACAAAACACGGTCTTGGAAGGATACCCGGGACTATAAGGATCATACTCACTTGGGTAGATCCATATCCCCCTCCGTAGTAGTTCTGCTCTCTCAGCCATCTGACTATGGGACCAGTCAACTCATACTTCTTCATTTTCAGCAAGGCCAGCAAGGCATACGAGGTGCCTTCAATGCTGAAGTTGCGGGCGTTTGGCTCTTCCCAGCGATTTCCCTCTAGGCAGCAGCAAAGAAGGCGAGCTAAAGGACTTTTCCCAAGGACATCCACTCATTCTGAGCAGATCTGACTGGACCATACCATCACCTGACTCCTTCCCCAACTTTCCGCATGGAGGATCGGTAAGTCAAACTGATTGTTGCCCCTTTCGGGCCGAGCAGCTACCCAATATTTGGGGTCTTGGACGATTGTTTCAATTACAATGAGGAATTGGTGATAGGCCTCTGGTACGTTCTCTGGTGTAAACCTGATTGCTTATGAAAATGCACAGAAAGTCCTGCTTCCCTGAGCATGAGAAACCAACAGCAGGCAACTTCCTTGCTGAGAAATCTCCAAGTCCGCCTCTGAAGTGAGTTCTAGGCCCAACAAGCCATGTCTCTCTCCTTGTTTCATAACACTTCTCCAGGCTTTCAGCTGGTTTCTGCCTCTAACGCACAGGATGCAAAACCAACATGCTAGCCTCTGTGTCTGCAGTCAGGGAAACCCCTCAGCCCACATGACTTAGCTCTTGACCTGCTGTGTGCCTTGGGCAGTCCCTACATTGTTTTTAGCTGTGTCTACTACAGAAAGAGTCTTGATTGCTTCTTCCACTGAGTCTGAAAGAGTGCCTGGCACACCCATGAAGTTGAACAAGGGCCTGGTCTACACTTAAAACTTAGGTTGTCATAGCTGTGTCACTCATGGCATGTGAAACATCTACACACACACCCCCTTCCGGAGCGCTATAGCTATGCCAAACTAACCCCTAGTGCAGACACTGCTAAGTTAATGGAAAAATGCTTCAGTTGACCTAGCTACCGTTGATCATGGTGGTGGAGTTCCTACAGAGATGGAAAACCCCTTCCATGGGTGCAGTCTGCGTCTACAATAGGGGGTGATACCGGCATAGCTGCGGCACCGTAGCTGTGCCGCTCTAGTCCCTGCATTGTAGACATGGCCAAGGTCTGTGACCATTTTGGGATCAAAGACTCACCTGGCACCTTTCAACATAACATTGTTATATCTAGACAACAGCTTTGTCCTGCCCTGTTTTAACTATCCCAAACAATGGGGCAAACTCCATTTTCCTTGCGGGTAATATTATTCTCTATCCTCTGAAATTCCCCTTTGCTCAGTTTCATCCAGTTACATCCTCTTGACCCACTCTTTTCTCTCTCTTTCTCTTTGGGGTTTACATCCTTTAGATATACGTACAGGGCTCTCGGATTCCTCCTGAGGACAAGTAATACCATATATCTCTGCCACATCCAGATCTCAGACACACTGGTGTAAATCTGGAATAAGTCCACTCAACCCAGGAGAGTTACTCTGGATTTATACCCAGTCCGATCAATCTCAAATCTGGCCAAAAGGAACAAATCTATGCCTGTTATTCATTCCTCATAAATTAATCCCTCTCCAGCCTCCTTTGCTTCTCTTCCCTGACCCCCATCCTGACTTGGCCACATCTTTCCAGAAGTTGATAAGATGCCCTGACTTACCTGTCGAAGCTCTCATGAGCGCCTTCTCGGTGTTCAGTGTCCCCACCATCGCTAAGGCATAGGATGCAAGAGCCACAGTGTAAGGTCTGGTTAGAGACTGGTACCTTTGGACTAAGTAGTCAGCGGCTTTGCTGATGCTGCCTTCCAAACTCTAGGAGGTGACAAAGAAAACAAAAGAAAATCAAACTCATGGGTTAGGCTGAGGTTTCGGGTGGTGTTAATGCCGAGGAGGGGAGCAGGATCGAACCTGGGACCTCTGGAGCTAAATGCATGAGCCTTTACTGCATGAACTAAAAGCCCGAAAGCTCTAGAGCAGACTCATTAATCTCTCGCTAAGTGGTCTCAGTGCCACTAGATGGGAAGAGAACACCGCACCAGGAGGTGACTGGGTTACATTAAGACATTACGAATTCATGTGGCTTCCAGCTTTATTTAATTTCACAGTGAATTTTGTGCTGGTGAAAGACGGAGGAGGCAGGAAGACATGGAAGTGAGATATTTGGGGGCAGCGAAAGGGGACATTTCTGGACCACATGCAGAATGTCATCAGGAGTGAGACCAAAGTCCATGGCAGGGCCGGCCCTAGCCCAAATGGCACTCCAGAGAGTCTTTGGCGTCCCCCCCTCTATTTGTAACATTTTTGAATACCTTATTTTTGATTGCATTTCTAGCCCATTTCACGACTTTGATGCATGATTTATCCCTGTCGTATAAGATGATACATTTGCAGGCTAGGAGATGTAAGTCTGTATTTATTCATGCCATATATAAGCAAATAAAAAAAAATGTTTCTTCTAAGATTATAGAAACAAAACTTATAGGTCCAGAACATTCTAGTAGGTTAGTGAAAAATGAATCCACATATGGAATTCCGGAAACATTTTACTTCAAACTTTCAATTTTCCTTTTTGTCTCTAACAACAAAAACAGCACCCTGAGCCCAGCACCACCAGCCCAAATCCAGCACCCAAGGTGGTTGCCTGGATTGCCTGCCCCCCAAATCTGGCCCTGGTCTGTGGTATATGAGAGAAGCTGCAAGAGAGGAGGATGAGATGATGTGGTCGGCACATACAAAGAGGGGATGAAGAGAATCATAGGCGCCGACTCTGTGGGTGCTCTGGGGCTCAAGCACCCATGGAAAAAATAGGGGGTGCTCAGCACCCACCAGCCACAGTGGATCCGCCCGAGCTGGCCACCGATCAAGCCCCCGGGGCTGGCCGCTAATCAGCAAGCAGTTGTTGGGAGGCGCTCAGGGGAGGGGACAGAGATGAGGGAGCAGCAGGCTGGCGGGGGCGGGGGGGAGTTTGAGGGAGGGGCGGAGTGGGGGCAGGAAGAGGCAGACCAAGGGTGGGGCCTCAGGGGAGGGGGAGAGTGGGGACGGGGCCTCAGGGCAGAGCGGGGGTGGAGCAACCACTGGGAAAAATAAGTCAGCACTTGTGAAGGGAATCCTGTTAGGGAGGCATTTGAGAGTAACGTTTACAGGTGGAAAACAAGAGGACGACCAAGAAAATAGTGGACAGACAGTGTACAGGAGAACAAAGCACATATGGAGCAAATGTAGGACTGGCAAGCCTGACGAAGAAAGATGGCGGCAATTCTGGAGGAGGATGTCCTCTGTTTAGCCCCACGAACAGTACAAGGGCCGAGCAAGCCTCCCCGGATGAGAGAGGGATGGATAGTGTCGTCCCCATGTCCCACTCGTGCTGGTTTGACTGGGACCCAGGATCTAATAATACCAAGCTCTTATATCATACTTTTCCTCAGTGCTTTACAAAGGAGGTCAGTCTTTTTACCCCCAAATTACAGAAAGGGAAACTGAGGCACAGAGTAGGAAAGTTATTTGCCTGAGGTCCCCCAGCAGGTGTGGGATGAGAACTCAAATCTCCTGAAACCTAGTCCAGTGCTCTATCCACTAGGTCTTGCTGCCTTCACCCTACAGATGGTTGCCTCTCTCTTCATGCCGTATTGCTACAGCTGCAGTCAGCGGGCTCCTCTTCACTATAAAAGAGAGGGGGCAGCTGCCAGGCTGTTCTCTACAAGGGCTCCAAGACTCTGGAAGTTGTTCCCCAGCTTGGACTGAAATAATTCAAATGTGGTGACCTGAGCATGCTGCAAAAGACACCTCTTTGATAGGGTTCTTGGAGAGGGCTGAGGGTTTGCTTCTCCTAACGATGAGGGGATAGAAAGGAGGTTCTGTTGCTGTCTGGCCAGCTGAGTTTCGACTGAAAGGATCACTTTAACCCTGCAGGGATGTAACTGTGTGGGTAATGACGTGGCAGGGTGCTAGAGCAGGGGTGGGCAAACTTTTTGGCCCGAGGGCCACATCTGGGTATGGAAATTGTATGGCAGGCCATGAATGCTCACTAAATTGGGGGGTAGGGTGCGGGAGGGGGCGAGGGCTCTGGCTGGGGGGTTGGGCTCTGGGATGGGCCCAGAAATGCGGAGTTCAGGGTGCGGGAGGAGGCTCCAGGCTGGGGAGGGGGTTGGGGTATGGGGGGTGAGGGCTCTGGGGTGGGGCTGAGGATGAGAGGTTTGGGGTTCAGGAGGGTGCTCTGGGCTGGGACCGAGGAGTTCGGCGGGCATGAGGGGGATTGGGGCAGGGTGTTGGGGCCTGGGAGGGGATCAGGGGTGCAAGCTCTGAGCAGCGCTAGCCTCAAGCAGCTCCTGGAAGCAGCGGCATGTCCGGCCTCCAGCTCCTACACAGAGGCACGGCCAGACATCTCTGCGCACTGCCCCGTCTGCAGACACAGCTCCTGGAAGCAGCGGCATGTCCCCCCTCCGGCTCCAATGTGGAGGTGCATTGCCAGCCAGGCAGCTCTGCGTGCTGCCCCATCCACACGTGCTGCCCCTACAGCTCCCATTGGCCGCAGTTCCCAGCCAATGGGAGCTGCGGTGGGGGCACTTCAAATGGGGCAGCGTGCAGAGCCCCCTGGCTGCCCCTACATGTAGGAGCTAGAGAGGGGACACACCGCTGCTTCCGGGAGCTGCGGGGAGCAGACCCTGACCCCGCTTCCCGGCGGAAGCTCAAGGGGCAGATTAAAAGGTCTGACAGGCCAGATGCAGCCCGCGGAGCGTAGTTTGCCCACCCGTGTGCTAGAGCATTGCATAAGCATCTTTTAAAAATGATTTTAAATCTAAATAAGTAAATCAATGTCCCCTCACTAATCCCATGACCCGTCCAGTTCCCCTTAATATTCCTGCATGCTTAGATTGCAAACTCTCTGGGACAGAGCCTGTCTTCTGGTTCTGTGTTTGTACAGCACCTGGCACAACGGGATCCCTGTTCCTGGATTGCGGCTCCAAGGGGCTACCTCAATATAAATAATAATTATAATAATAACGGGAAACTTAAACCCACCCATCTTCTAATTCTGAAAGCCCTGTATTCTGATATTCTCTCCTTTTGTAGATGGAGAGGCCGTTAAACCATAGCATGAAGCTAAACCCAAATAAGGACTCATTGCTTCTTTCCAATGTATGAAGATGGTCTCTACATTATTTTAAATTGTTTGTTTTCCTCTGCTTGGTTTTTTTATATGATAAATATCCAAGCCCAGAGTCTCTCGTTTTCCTGGCAGACTCTTGCAAGATCTTTCAAGGACTCTGAAGGCTGCGTCCCAGTGGCATTCGAGACCTGAGCTCCTCAACGGGTGTGCAAAGAAGAGAAGACTATCTGGCAATGCCACTAACTTCTTCCCCAGCAAATTCCACGTGCCATTGTAGTAGTAGGATTTTATGTTTGAATTTTGTATGATTTAGAATGAAGGATAAAGAATAATGAGATAATAATGTAGCATGTATTAAATGTATTGATGTATGATTTTACCATATCCTGCCAGCCAACCTTTTTGAATAGCAGAAAGGAATGGCCTAATACACCATTGGTAGAGATGCATCAGCCAGAATTTTTTGTGTGTCTGGACTGATTTCAAGGCAGTAACAGACCTTTGAGGGTCACCAATTTGTTGTAGGTTTAGCATTTTAAAATAAGTAAAAGAATGCCATGATTGTTTTCTTTTGCATTACAACTTGAGGTTCCTGTTCAAAATTTTCTGTGTAAATTAATTCTGTTTTGTGTGTGATTGAGGAATGTGTGTGTTAAGAAGAGATAAGTGTGAAGGCCGTCGCTGAACCAGATGGTCTAGGGAGGAACCGGAGACCAACACAAGGGCGCCAGGAGGCTGCAACACGCCCCTAGTGAAATGTCAGAGGAGGACAGATTGACGACTCTAAAGATGAGACAGGCACCTATCAATGGGGACAAGATAGCTGTGATGAAAACCAGCGTGGGATAACTCCCTGAGGAACTTGATCAAAGAATGAGAAGGACAATTTAAGAAAACAAGCACTTGTCAAACAACAATTGATTACAGCATGACAGTGCAGAAAAAAACAGTTACTCACCCTTTTTGTAACTGTTGTTCTTCGAGATGTGTTGCTCATATCTATTCCAGTTAGGTGTGTGCGTGCCGCGTGCACGGCTGTCGGAAACTTTTCCCTAGAAGCTACCCATCGGACTGGCTGTGGAGCCCCCTGGAGTGGAGCCGGTATGGCGCGCTATATACGACCCTGCCAGCCTGACCCTCCTTCAGTTCCTTCTTGCCGGCTACACCGACAGAGAGGAAGGTGGGGGGAGAATGGAATAGATATGAGTAACACATCTCGAAGAACAGTTACAAAAAGTGTGAGTAACTGTTTTTTCTTCTTCGAGTGCTTGCTCATATCAGTTCCAGTTAGGTGACTTCCAAGCCTTACCTCGGAGGACGGGTCGGAGTCAAGGTATTGCAGATCAAAGAACTGCTCTGCCGAAGGCCGCATCATCCCGAGATTGGTTGACGATGGTGTAGTGCAACGTAAAGGTGTGCACTGAAGACCACATGGCAGCCCTGCAGATCTCCTGAAGAGGTGCGTGGGCCAGGAAGGCTGTCGACGAGGCTTGCACCCTAGTGGAGTGAGCCGTAATAGTAGGCGGAGGAAGCTTCACCAAGTCATAACAAGTGCGAATACACGTCATGATCCAGCATGATATCCGCTGCGAAGAAAACGGCAAACCTTTCATCCGCTCTGCTAAGGCGACGAACAACTGGGTTGTTTTGCAGAACGGCTTCGTTTGGTCTATATAGAAGGTGAGCGCCCTTGTAATGTCCAGCG